ACAAAAAACCATACAAAGCTATGGTTTTGGCTATAAAAGACTGCTGTTTTAAAAGAGTATTGATGAATCAGCCAAGAACACTATTACAATGAAGGCTAGATGCTTAGAGCAGAATCTTTGACTTCAACCCTTCCAGGTCTTATTGCAGGCTGTGAACTTATCCTACATTTTACATAATTCAAAGACCAAGAGTCCCATTTACTGCAACTATTCAGGACATTTCTCCATCATACTTGATAGCACTGGTGATGCTGGCTGCTCTTCAGGACAGTAGTAGCTGTAAATGTACAGAGAATTGTCCTGTGACCTCCTGCTAGCACAAGGAGCCAGGAGAAGATGCACATAGTAGTGCTGTCACTCTTACAAGATACCATTTTAAGGCTTTCAATCTTCACACGTTCACTTATTCTACTGTATCAGACCAAGATAACTTAAAAACTGAAAGTGTTTTCATCTTCCCTTTAAAATATGCAATAAAACTCCTACTCTTCTGCTAAAACATCTGGGTCGGAATAAGCTGAACAGTCAGAATATATTCTTGCAGTGTATTTTTGATTGTAGTGCTCATTGTCATCACTAAACCTGAAAGTGAGCTTGTGCCATATCTGGGAAGCAGAAATTCCCCTTCTGCAGGCTAGCTCAGCCTCAAGAGCATCAGTTACTTGAACCAACAGTTCGCTGGTATTCATGACTTCATAAATATCACAATATTGATAAATATCATAAATTTGAGAAATACCTGAAGTATCACCGTATAGTGGCTGTTTGCTCTTAAAACTGTCATGCCTTGCAGTCTTGGCATAGGTTCAACCATGAAAATTTAAGTGTGAACTTAGGGCTTTTTTTTTTTTTTTTTTTTTTTTTTGAGGCAGAGGGTGGAAAGAAAGGCACTTAACAGTTACAGATTGTAAAGCCTGGGCAGGAGGGCACTAACTTTCAGCAACCACCTGCTTTTAGGGACAAGTGAGACGTACTGTAGGCTAGTTTGTTTATAACACAAGAAAGAAACACACAGCCCAAGTGCAGTATTTTCACATGGAAGAGTCAGCGGAGATTGGCCTTGACTGGGAGCTCCTAAAAGCAGTAGTGGTGCTGCACCTATAACTCACACGCAGAACACAAAGCCAGAGAGAGTCTATACTTCTAGGAAACAAACAGGAAAGTAGTAAAGAATCAAGTAGCATATAAAAGTAACAGTTACCACATTTGTTCAGATGACATTTTTATTAGATTTTCTTACACTTCTCAATGCATTTTCAAGTGTTTTTCCAGTGAATCATCAGCCCATGGATAAACAAAATGAAATAACCTGGAGATGAGAAATGTACACAGTGCAACAAAAGTTCTTTTAGCTAAGAAAAGTTTGGTTGCAGAACAGCAGCCAACTATTTGTTTGCATTCTCCCTTAGCTGCAGTTCTGGAGAGGGAAGTAATAATCCAACTACGGGGGAAAAACAGAGTTTCTTGAGTGCAAAAGCAGTATGAAATGAAGTAGCAGAACTGTTAAGGACTGATTCCACTCTGCAACACACAAGTCCACATAGCAGATTCATGAAATTAAGTCACCTAAAGTAAAAAGGCAGATAGAAAAAACCAAACCCCAAATAGTTTGTGACACTAGCACAAAAATCAAAGGGGCCTTGAAACCATTTGCTTTAGATTCTTAGAAACCCCTGAATGGCTACATACCAGTTTAATCTAGGGCTGCTCTGTACCTATTCTCCTCACCATGTGGCACCACCTTTGTCCTTGCCTAGCAGCAGCATATCTGCAATTAAACAGCGAGCCACTTCTAGACATCTCCTAAGGTGGAGGGAGAAAGAGGTGGGTGGGAATCCATTTCTTGCATTGAAGAGTGGCACCTTTGCGTTGAAGAGTGGCACCAGTGAAAAGAAAGGTGGAGAGTGGTAATGATCCATGTACTGATAGATTTAAGTGTTGTGTAACATCACAAAGCTTGCCATCTAAAAAGACCATCGAGGTAAGAATTGGCTCTGAAATCCTGCATGGTAATTACTTGGCTGTTTTCCTTACTAGCAGATTTCTGTGAGTTTATGTTGTGTGACAGTAGCAGATGCTACATTTTCCCTGTGGAGTTAGAGCATCTGATCACTGGTGGTTTATATTCCAGAATATGCCCAGCAAAGTAAAGACCTGATCCAGAAACAGCTGGAGTGCCGTGCAAAGAAGAGAGAAGAATTGAAACACAGACAGAAAACTGAACAAGGGAGTCTCCTCAATAAAACTTTTCAGACTGAGAAACTTCATGATTTTCTTAAGGTGAACACATAAAAACTTGCTTACATTGTTGTATTGGTTCATAAAGCCAGACTTGCCTTAGATTTCTCCCAATCCTATAAAATGGTCCATTTGGACCTTCCTGACCCAGCAGAGATCTTCTCACCAAGGTTTACCTAGAGTTGTTTCCTCCACTATGGCAGTTGTCCTTTGGCATTTGGGTCCAATATCGCATTCGTTAACTTCAGATCAGATGTTTTGCAGAAAAAAATGGTTTAATGTAGGGAACCTATGATCTGTGTTACAGAAGAGAGCAGACTGTGCTGATCTTAGTGCCTTTCTGTGACTGAGGTTACGGAGGCTCAAAACTTAAATATCACACAAGCAGAGGGCAAACTCCTTTTGAATGCTGCCAGGATACCTTAGCAAAGATTTACAATATATCATTTAATACAGTATCTGATGACCAACAAAATGTTTTCCTGGCCACATTTTCTATAGAACTATATCATTAATGCTTAAATGCATATGTAATATGTATATTAAATCAGTTCAAGCTGTAAGTGCTGAGAGCTGCCCAAGTTTTCTAACAGAAGAGATACAGACCCAAGTTAAGAAAAATTAATCCTCAGCTTTCATGAAAATATACTTCAAAATGCTTACATCAGGCATTATTAAACTTGTTTAAATTCTAGTAGCTTAGATAAATGGCTGTATGAGAAGACTTAGATTCCACTGCAGCTAGTTGTAGGGGTTTGTCGATATCAACAATTCAGTTTTGTTTTGGAAGCCAAGTTCTTTAATTATATTGTATGAATTAAGTAATGCAGTTACTGTTATTTTACTGCATCACCTGTCCGGTATACTTCATTTCAGAAATCCTTTCACTACACCATACACGAACAAAAAGAGAAGATTCCAAGCACTTTAAGATAGGACATTTTACCACTTCAGCTTCTAATATTTTTGTGAAACAGATACAAAATGGATGATAATTTATCCTGAAGCATTTGTGAATGTACTTTTTTGTGCACATTATATATAAGATTGTTGGATACATCTGAACTTTGTTAAATGAAGATTAGCAAAATTGTGTTAAAATATTCCCCCTACAAAGCATAGGTCACACAGCTTTTTGTGCAGGAGCTGCTCTGTAGAACAGAGCTGAGAAAGCTACTAAATATGTTTAGTTAAACTGTAGAAAACCATGTGCCCATTACAGGCAGAGTGGAAAGTGGGAGATGTGACAATTTGCACTTTATGGTGCAGTGCAGAGCACAAATGGTTCTTAGTATTTAAGAGTGCCTGTGAAAAGGATGCATGTCCACATAATCCCATGATTTAACTTTAACATTCAAGTAATTGCTTGCAAATATTATTCACTCAGCAGAGAGGAGCAGTTTTAAGTCTGGTTCACAGTTCATAACTAGCTCAGAGTAGAGGAGCTGGCCTGAGCTTCACCATTAATACAGATCTTTTCCCATCTGACACTAACTAACACCACTGCCTCAAAGGGCTGCTACCACCGTGGCAGCAGCCTGCACAGTAACTCACCTTTCTGCTGAATTTTAAGTGACTGCCAATTAGGGAGATGGCTTTTGCAATGAACCTGCTTCACATTGGGTTCTTCTGAGCACAAGTGGGATGATAACAATTTGATTGCTGCAACTCTGATTTTTGTGTGAAAGAATTACTTAGATAATAAAGTTTAGCATCCCTGTATCAGGGCTCCACTGCTGGAAATGGAACATTTCCATTTTGTTCTTTCTACTAGCAGAGAACAGAGGAAGAGTTAACAACACACAAGGGCTAATAAGGAATAGGCTAAGCCCTATCCCTTGACAAGGTGAGGGCAGCAGAAAGAGTTACAAAATTTTCGTCAAAGTCCATGCATGATGAGAACAAATTCCATCTCTACAAGGAGAGCTTGTGCATTAAGAGCTTAAAAGCACTTCTGTGTTCTTTAGAAGGGGCCTATTCACAGACTTAGCAATGAGAGCTATGATAATCATGCAGCGCAAGAAGGCACTTAAATGTTTTCATAGAATCATGGAAACGTTGAGGTTGGAAGGGAACTTCTAGTCCAACCCCCTGCACGTGCAGAGTCACCTAGAGCACGTGTCACAGGATTGCATCCAAGGGGGTTTTGAAGACTTCCAGAGAAGGAGATTCCACAACCTCCCTGGGCGGCCTGTTCCAGGGCTCTGCCCTCACAGTAAAGAAGTTCTTCCTTAAGTTCCTGTGGAATTTTTGGTGCTTCAGTTTGTGGCCATTTCCTCTAGTTCTGTCAGTGGCCACCACTGAAAAGAGGCCAACCCCATCCTCCTCACTCCCTCCCTTGTATTTATAGACACCGATCAGTTTTCAAAACATGGAATATTCATTTACAAGTCTCCTCATTAATCTGTAAAATGAAGGTTTTTAAGTTGGTGTAGTTCAGTCTTTATAGCCCAAATAAAGGTGGTAAAGGCAAGATTCATGCTCCTCTGAGCTACAGTTCCAGATGAGTGATTAGATGATTATTGTAATGTTACAGTGGGGTCAGAGTGGATCCCAGGGAACTGTGAAAGCAGCATTTTCAACTGTTTATAGACCTGTGTTTCTCTTAGGCCTACCAGGAACTGCTAGAGAAGCATCGCCAGATACAGTGGGACCTGGAAGAGGAGGAAGACTGGGAGAGTGCAGAGGCTGTTACTGATCTCTACAAGGTGCCATTTCAAATGATATGCTTTAATTACAAAAATCAACTCTGAAAAATCCTCTAATTCCATTACACAGAATAAGATATCCCAGATGGAACTGCAGGAGACTTATTTTATGAAAGATTGCAACAGTTCTAAGAAGCTAAGCAGTCAAACCAGGAGAAGGCAGAAGGGCAGTCTTCCATAAAGCTTGTCTTCTCCATTATCTTGTTGACACACAATATTTCTTTAGCTTGCTTTAGTCAAAAAACATCCATGAGATCTGCCAAAATGTGCTGCATCGGTGGCTGATGAAGCTGCAAGAACGTTGACAGCCGTCAACATGTCTGCCTTACTACCAAAATTAAAAAAAAAAGTTAGCATAATTCTCTCTTTACACCAAGTTAGAATGATACTATTCTTGATTAGCTACATCTCCAAAAATAGTTCTCATCTCTTCTCTCAGGGAAATTGCTTTGAGACTGGTTTGTTCCCTGAAATAAGTTCAAATCTTTGTTAAAGTAATATTTTTATACTTCTTAATCTTACTGATTTGGAAAATATATAGAGATTTCATGCTTTTGCATCATATCCAATTAACTATTTTCTGTGTGCACACAGAAGTTGTAAGATAAATGATCTATCTGATGAAGAACAAAGCTGTAGCCAGAAGTGACCTTTAATTAGGCTAGAACTAATCACTTTCAGCTCAACAGGATCTTTGTCATGATTAATTATGGCCAGATTGGATATTCTGGAAACTTGCAGTCCCCATCACCTCAGGATAAGATATCCATACAATCTTAATTAGCAAGAGAAGCTTGATAGTGAATTTTTCTGCTTTGTAAGAAGTTTCATGCTCTTTTCAAATTCAACTTGGGGCAAAAAAGAAAAGAAGAGAAAAAAAGAAAAAGACTGGAGTGAACACATTTAAAAGAAATAGTTTTATGTGATACGGCAGGTAACCAAGTGTTTGAGAAAAACTACTATTTTAGAGAGGAGGAATTTGTTTGAATGGTTATTCTTGTAAAACTAAGATGATTTTGTTCAAAGCTACCTCATTTAAGAAAAGTCAACATTTGCTGATGTTACCTCACACAGTCCACTCTCTGGAGCTACCAAGTTCTTCCCTACTCCTTTCCTTATGTCATAGGAAGCCTGTGGAGACCAAACAGTTCTTTCCCTTGCCCAGTTCCACTTCATTCGTGAAATTTATTACTTTCTTTTATGGTGTACTTTGCTTTACTGACATTCAGACCACACTGAAAATCCTGTCTTTCAGTAGTGTTTAAGAAAAAACTAGTGTGGATGAAAAATCCACAAATCTCAATTTTTGCCAGTTTACAGGTTTTTCTAGGATGTCTAACAGAAGCAAAAAAAAAGTACTTTTCCTTTTAGCCATGAGTACAGATACTAGACAGTCACAGAAGAGAACATTGCTTTTGTGAACATCTTATATAAGCAGCACAAGCTAGAAAGAAGAGAAAGTACAAGCCAGCATAGCTCTGCTTTAGAGGAGCAGGGCTATTTTGACTGCCTTAGCCAAGGGAGTTAGTGCAGAAATTGTAAATTGTGTCCATTATGTGAAGCACAGAAGCAAAGGGATGGAACTGCATCTCAGTCATAGTGCCATCGTTTCTCACTCTTCTCCACCATGCTTTCAGAGGGAACGTGCACCTTGGAAAAACAGGGGCCTTTCCCTGCACCTCTTCGCTTGGTTTCCCCAAGTTTTGCTAGGGTGAAAGTATGGGAGAGGGAACAGATACTGGACAGACAGAGCTGAGCACCCAGCAGGGACCAGCCACCCTGCCAAGGCAACGCTCAGTACCACGCTGCAGAGTCACGTCCCTAGGACCTCTGAGCAGACTGGCTCATGGAGCAAGCTCATCTGGGCACGCCTGCAAATACTGCAGCCCTGAGGGAGACTGACACAGCTATTTGCTTGCACTCATCCACAAGGGTTGGCACTGCCGTCTGTCTTCTACCACATAACCGGAAGATATAGTTAAATGTTCTGCTGTTTGGGTTAATCTCCGTGTCTTCCAAACTGACAAATACAAAAGACAAATACAGCTAAAGTTAGAAGACAAGAGAAAGTCCTTACCAGTTAATATGCAGAGAATTATGTTAAATTGCTTCTTACCATTTCCCCAGAAACTGAAGCCTAGCAACGTTACTGAAAGAGTGAATGAATCTCTGCAGTCACTCTAACATACTGCTCAGATATTTAGATAAAATATTCCCTACCTCATGGTCCACAAGACATCCAAAGATAAAGTAAAGATGCATCTTTCAGAAAGCTATGTTCATGCTTTTATAAACCAAAGAAAAGACTAGAAGTAGTGAAATATTCAGATTTAAGCCTAGTTTTCGTTCCATTGCAAATGAAATTTAGTCCATGAAGACTGCACAAAGTGATTATGCCTTCCTTTCTCCCCACCCCACCTGCAACAAGTTAAATGCCCTTTGGGTTTAAGGGAAATAAAAGTGAAATGTCTTTCTAGGAACTAATTACCAAATCCGAGAGGAGATTAAATGTTGCCTAAATCACAGTTACTTCATAACCAAGTAACAATACTCCATATACCCTCTTTACCAAGCAGAGGCTTCTGCAGGCTTTTGTACTGTCTACAGATCCACTATTAAAGGCAATCTAATGAAATACTTCTTCTGTATTGAAGAATTTAATACATTTTTCCAACTAATAGTATTAAAACTTCAGTCATATTTTTAATATATCCAAGCCCTCTGTGTCCTAAAGTTACTTTTATGTTTTTTTCTGAAGTCCTAGGAGCTCTGTCAATATTGCAAGTTTCCAGGTAAGCACCTGTATCCTATAGAAGAGATGTATGGCTCACACACAATTACAGTCATACACTTGGTGTAACATCCAATAAGTTTATGCACTATAAAAACACTGTATGTTTTAGAGCAGTTCAGAACATCCTGTTATATAGAATTAAGCCCCTTTCTTAACTGAAGTATATCTTCAGCTAAGAGAAGTAGTTACTAGACTTTTTCAAATCAGCTGCCTTAAAGCTCACGGGTACCTCCTTCCCATATTGACTTTCTCAACCACCCCATATTTCTAAACCACCCATATTGTACTGTCAATTATTCAAATCTGACCAAATCTTCAAAGAAGATGGTCTAATACTTCTATTTTGTTATGCTCCTTATGATAAGTTCACGGTCCTGGACACTCAGCATGACTGTGCCACCACAAGCACAGCATCCCTTTGCTTTACCCAGCAAAAGCACAAAACTCTCAAAAAAACAACCTGATTAAATTCACTGTAGAAGCTCAAATGCCCAACGACAGTCCTAACTTCATGGCCCTAATCCACCATATTCAAAAATTCATTGGATCTTCTTTCCCCCCACCAAGAGAAAGGAATGTAGCAAGATTCAAACCTACCTTCTTCAAGATCCACCTCAGCACCTGCAAAAACACACTACTGTGCATCCTTCACTTAGTCTTTATACAACCCCTTCTAAACACCTTTATCAGCTCTGTAATTACCCCCTTTATTCTACTTGACCTGCAATCACTTACAGCAGCTGTTTCTAAGGAGCTTGTTTGCCTTTTGGACAGCTGAGGGAGATGATTAGACCTCTTATTAACTCTCTCAAGAACAGGGCAATAAGGGATGAATTGTGTCTAATAATCTATATATGTCTTCATATATATGATGTACATTCTATATATGCATTTTGTATATATACATAAAGTACATTGTACATTTAATGTGTTTACATTATCCTAGCCACTTAAAGGTTAGTTGGCTGCAATTTAAAAGCAGATCACCAAAGCTTTTTAATAAACCAGAAAATGAATTGACCTTTAAGGTGTAGGCTGTCTAGCTGCACTTAATAAAATGTTTGGACATCCTTTTCTGTGTCAATTGTACACTAGCATGGCTTGATTTATTTTGGCAGATTTACCTTGCTTTGTCTAGGTATAAGCAAGCAGAGAGGCAAACCTGATGAACTCAAATATAGGCAAAAGTAGAGGGAGAACCTCAGTGCAAGAAATGGAATTGGGAAAAGGTCACCATGTGGCTAAATAGGGGAGCAAGGATTATGCCAGGGCTTGAAAAAGATTTCATTTAATCGTGATTGCCACTCATCTGTGGGAGACCATTTCTATCTCACTTTCACTGTGCTCTTCATAGCTTTTCTCAAATTTCTCTGCTTTTCTTCTCCATTTTTGCATTTATAAATAGCTAATAAGTTCACCAAGACAGATATATACAGCCCTCTAGTAGCCTGTAGTGCTATAGTACATTAAAAAATTATCCAAGTTGGTGAATAAGTATATAAGAACGCAATGATCTGGAGTCTGACTGTGAGGTTAATAATTGAATAGGTTTGTTTTGCATATATACGAATAAATCAATTAAGATGATTTAACCAAGATCAGTGTAATCTGTTGGTGCCTGCAGTGAATGTATGAGTTTGTGTTTGAAAGATCGTATAGACTTTTTAACCATACTAGTGGGTTAAAATACTGCATTATAAGTGAATAGTCTGTGTCTAGATTTTTGACCACTTAACAGACAGGCTCAGTCTAATCCTGTTTTTTGACGTTGATTGAATTGGGTCTGTTTGTTTCAGTCAGAGCTCTGAGGTCTTTATCTCTACCACTGTGTTTGTACATTCAGTAACAGCTCTGCAAAACTTTTCAGATCTGAATTTTGCCTCAGCCACAACTAAAGCTATTGTATAGTGCAAGTTGAGTAGCGGGTACAAGTGATTTTGAATCTCACACTAATTTGTTACTGACGGAGGAATATAAGAGGCAATTAATTGAAAGGCCAGCCCAATATTTGCATAAACATAATTTTTTAGAGTTGTCCCATACACCAGGGTTATTGTGCATTTCTTTGGTAATTTTTAACTTACGCTTCTTTTACTGTAATTTTTTTTTATGTGGAAGTAAAAGTGCTGTCCTCTCCCAATTATGTCCTTTTTTGTTTCTAATAATTTCTTAAAAGCATTAAGGATTAGTTCCTTGCAAATCCACATTAGCATATTGGATGTTAAACGGCCTTTAATCTTTTCTTTCTTCCTTCCTAGTGGTTTTTTTTTTTTTTTTGTGAGCTATTTGTTTATTTCAGCAGGGAAAGGAGAGGTGAGAAGAGACTGGTGGTTAAACAATTATTAAGAGAAGACACATGTGGGTTACACAAAAGCAAATCAATTAACAGCTGAGAATTACATAGTCACCAGAAAGATAATTTTTCTTCCTCAACCTTAACATCAAAAACATGAAAACACACAACTTCTTGTCATCTATAATTCCTCTCTGCTGATAGCACTTCAACAGAATGTTGTTACATTTGACTTGACAGCACATAGAAATGCACAGGAATTCAGATTAATAGGTATTAACTAATTAGTATTAACAATAGGCAGGGCAATAAACATTTTATGAATGTGAGTTTGAAGTATTTTTTCCTCAGTTAATAAAAAGGGAAAAAACAGATTTATCAAAATATGTAGTACGGATCCTTAGACATTTACTCTTTCATTACTTTCCTAGGTAACTTCTTTAACATGAGATACTTAAGGATGTTTTGTGTAGACCTGACTACGTTTATGGTTATTCAGAGGTAGTGATTTTTCAAGTTGAATCACCCTCAGCTTGTCTCAGATGAAATACCACACTCAAGAGACCCTCCTGACTCAATTCTAAAGGCCACTTTTGAAAACTTAACCCCAAAGGTCGAAGAGAAATGGTCTAATTTTGCTTTTTGATGTTTTGGTCTGTTTTGATCTGTTGATTTCAGTTAAAGCTTTGAAGTCTTTATCTTTAGTGTTCCTTTATGCTTCTGTGACATTTCTATAATATAGTTCACAGAATCACAAAATGGTTAAGATTGGAAGGGACCTCTAGAGATTATTTACTGCTCCAGCAGGGACACCCAGAGCATGTGGCACAGGGCGGCATCCAGGCGGGTTTGGAAGCCCTCCAGAGAAGGAGACTCCACAACCTCCCTGGGCAGCCTGTGCCAGGGCTCTGTCACCCTCAGTGTAAAGAAGTTACAATCATATCTAAATTTTTCTTGCTGCATTAGCCGCTAATCAGCCATTAGCCAGACAAAGGTTATGGTTTTGTAGCTGCATGCTACACTTCACTAGAAGGACCGGCATCTTTCTTTGACCTTTCCTGTCTTACCACCAAGCAACCTGGCTCCTTTTGTATTCCCAAAGAGACTGATTACCTACATGTCTGATCTTGATTAAGAGTGACAATAAGGTGCAGAAATCCAGCTCGTTTGTATGCTTTTACCAAGAATCACTAGGGATGTGTGAGTGTGTTGATGTCAAATACAAGATATTCATTTTGAAGTTTGCTTCCTGCCTTAGTGCATAGGGAAACCTCCACACAGATTCACAATTTGTTAATAGTTACATATAATGAAGCCTGTAACTTTATCTGCATCAGAATATTTCTAAAAAGATGGATGGAAGTCCGAAAGAGAAGGTTGAAACCACCTCCTGAATAAATTAAGGACAAGTAAGGCAACAAAACTGGTATTTCAGTGAGCTCTCATTTTTACCACATGTAAATTAAATATTTTTATTTTATTGATTAGCTTGCACAGAAGCTGACTTCAGTATCCACTGCCTAGTAGTGTAACACAGTTAAGGCACTGTGTTTTACTGGGAGGGTACTGGATGCATTTTAGCAAGTAACATGACAATATTCTTCACACAAAGGAAAGGCAGAAGGGTTTTCGCCAAACTCCCTCCAATTCAGTCTCAGCTGAAAAGGCAAGAAAGCTGAAAAGTATCTTCTGCTGGCCAGTGCTGTCCAAGAAAGCTTGGAGTGTTCATGGGATGTATGGTCTAGGTATCGAGTTCCTGCCCTTAATGAAGTACAGTAGAACTTGGGAAATTAATCTCTTGGCATTTAGCTTTCTGGACAACCAACCTTTCTAAATATGTTTTCCTGCTTCATAATTTCATTATTCATTTTATTCTCATCTACATGTAGGAAGCTTCTCATCATTTGAGGGGTGAAGGGAAAAAGCATTAGTGTTATTTTTTTGTAGTGAAATCCTTTAAGCTGTGTATTTGCCTTGTTTTGGGACAAAAATATGTATTTATCGCCTTGTCTGAAATTCAAATGCACTCAGCATTTAAATTTGAGCCCTTTTTATTTCTGCACACAGCCTGTGGTATTTCTTTATGCTTGATGAGTTTCTCTGGAGATTTTTGAAAAGCTTTAAGATTGACTGTGAGATATTATAGGCAGGTTCATTCAGCATTGCAATCAGCAATCCCATTAATAGAATCAATCTGAATAAATGGCATTTAGTAAAACTTCTGAAGTCATGAAGACAGTATATTAAGAACTTTATAGGAACCAATTTATAGGCTTTTAGTCCAAAAAAAAAAAAAAAAAAAAAAAAGTACTGGAGGTTGTAGGATTTGGGTTTTTTTTTTTTCCTATAGAAAATAAACTTTACAATACGTAGTTTGCTGTCCCCACTCAAGACCTAACCTTATTGTTGTTTCACATACAGTGCCTCCCTTGCAATACAGACAATTTCAACTACTTTGCCAATTTGACTCACACCTGTAGAATTCAATAAGATTTGCTTTTTTTCCCCTAAATCTAGTTTTACCTTTACCCTTAACATATTCTACATGGCCATTATATTATATTTCTGAAAGTTGTGCATCAGTGTAACCATCACCCTATATTTGTGGTAAATCTCTGTGTAGGACTTACTGTCATGTTACAGTATGAGTTGCAAGGACTATGCTGGGTCTAAAGTCCACATGGTTGAGTGTTCAGGTCAAAGCAGCTAGTGACCTGTTGTTCCTTGAAAAGTTAGTATTTCGTAGTCATCACTGATGGTGGTTTGTCTTGTGGTTATGGACTGTACTTCAGACAAATAAAGGCAGGGTCTGTATCCTGTGCAGAACAGAATTTGTAGGAGAATTTAGGACAGTGAAGTATCACTCTGTCTGAGACACTTGCAGTGTGAGAATGGTCCTCCTGCTTCTTGCATACCTGTTTTCATCACACAAGAAATGAGAAATAACATACTGTTTAGTCCTGGCATGAAAATGCTGGCACTTTCATTAAAAAGCAAAAAAAGGCATCCCAGGGAGTGCTCGATACGGTTAATCTGATTTTCTTGTCCTTTCACATCACAGAAGGCCTTAAAGTGCTTCACCAATGTAATGTAAAGATCTACAGATCACTATGCCCATCACACTTGTGAGGTTATGTAGTTATTATTTCATTATGTGGGAAAAGGATCACATTTTTCTTGAATAACTATGTAGCCACACTGGAAGTGCCATAATGTACAAAACAATTTGGAACTGCAGGGAATGCAAGCATAATTCTGTTAATCTGGCCTATAAACAAAATAGTTTGCTCTAAAGTAACAAAATACCTTCTTTTATACTCTATGCTGAAGATTTGCTAGAAAATAATCCTGCAGGGCTGTTAGCATGCCAAGGAACCACTGTCAGGTCTGCAGCAAGATGTGTTAAGAGGTGGTAGAGTTGCCTCACAGGGGACTCCA